CACGAGCACCCCACACCCGGAAGCGCGACGCATCGCCAACCTTCCCCGTCCAACGCAGTGTGGGCGAGGTCTCCGGCAAGGAGACACGGGGCCAGAGGTTGAGCTGATGCGCGGCGTACCGGACAGCAAACGGCCACAGAAAATGGGGAGCCGCCGCGTGGACCAAGGAGGTACGAGCGACCTCCATGACCAGGCCAATGCGGCGCTCAGCAACCCCATTTTGCTGTGGGGAGTCCGGAAGCGTGAAGGTCTGCTCGATGCCCTCCGCCTGACAGAAGGTCCTCAAGAGATCGGAGGAAAACTCACCACCTCTGTCAGAGTGCAGACGCAGGACAGGAAGATCCGTCCGGAAACGGCGGCGGAGCTGGAGACGAACCGTGCGGATCCAAGGGATCAGAACAGCAGGGACCTCACCCTTGGTGCGCAAGGGGAAGACCGTGGTGTAACGCGAGTAGTCGTCGACAACCAGCAAAAAGTACCGCTCACCGCCCTGACCACGAACGCGGGCTGGGCCCCACACGTCCAGGTGGAGGGTCTCCAGAGGAGCCTCTGTCGGGGGGAACGAGGAGGAGTGAGGGGCGGCGCGCTGCCGCCCCTCGACGCAAGGAAGGCAAGGCGGCGCAGGCGAGGAAGGGAGAGGAGGGAGGGACCTGGGAAGACCAGACACAGGCAGGCGACGGTGCATGCCACAGGCGGTGGTGCCAAGGAGGGGAGACCCAGAGTCAGAGAAGAGTCTGGTGCGACAGGGAACGACACTCACAGGCGTGGGCCACCAGACCTGACGCAGACACCTGACCGACAGCAGCTACCTGGGGAGACGCAGTGGTCAGTGTGTAGAGACTCGACCCCGGCCGACGGGTGAACGTAGCCAGGTGACGGCCGGTCCTGGAGCACGTGCAGATCGCCACACGCTGTCCGCCAGGGGTAAAGGTGTCAACCCACTGATCCTGGAGGACAGCGTTGCTCACCAGGTTCGTCGAGAACGAGGGGAGGTGGAAACCCGACAACGAGCCAGACGGAACCGCCGGACAAGGGAGTACAGTGGTGGACTGGGCAAGGACTGGGCCCCCAGAGGGGTCAGCCAAGGAGACTGGGACCGGTGCAGGAAGCGGTGTGAGCTCAGTACTGTCACGAAAGAAACAACGGGAAGCACCTGAGTCAAGGGTGAAGGTGTGACAGGCCTCAGCTGGCGCGGTGCCTGAGAGAGCAGTCTCTGTGGGTGCTGTACCTGAGAGAGCAGACTCGAAACCAGCCGGGACAGCACTGGGGGGAGCAAGTACAGGGGGCACCATACCAGAGAGAGCAGACTCACTAGTACCCAGGGCAGCGGGCTCTATACCTGGGTCAGGCGGCACACACAAGTAACAGTCTCCCTCGGCACTAACAGTCAATGCATACATGGCAGCAATAATAGCATCATAGTCAAGAGCAAAGACATCAACACCAGCCCTCATGAGCTCAGCCCAGCGGGGGCGCTCAACATCCGCACCCATCTCCTCACGCCAAGCGTCGTCAAGGCGGGAGAAGCAGCGGTACGGGGTGTGGAACCTCCCACACGTCTGTCCCTTGCGGTCACCTGTGCGAATGACATAAGAACAGCGGGCACTGGCCCCCGACGTCCCACGCTGAGCAAGCCACTCACGAAGCTGCTGGGTCGTCTGGGGACGCTGCTGCTGCTGGGAGCTCTGGCCCGAGCCAGTGCCTCCACTCCGACCTCCGCCGCCACCACTACCACCGCTCCGACCGGCACCGCCACCACCGCCACCACCGCCACCGCCGCCACCGCCGCCGCCGCCGCCACTACTGCCACTGCTTCCTCCGCCGCCCCCGTCTCCACCACCGACCCCACTCCCACCAGCGCTCCCGCCACCGCTCCCTCCAGCACCGCCTCCCCCCCCACCTCCCCCACCTCCTCCCCCCCCAGTGCCACCACCACCACTTTTGCCCCCCTTGCCCTTGCCGGTGCGGCGCCTCCCACCAGGAGTAGAAGCAGCGCCAACAGACTCAGCACCAAGGAAGTCAACAGCAGCAGCAGCAGCGTAGGAGGGAGCGAGGGGAGAGGGAGAACACCCCTCAAAGATGGGGGTGCGAGGAGCGCCACGAGCAGCACCGACAGCTACAATGCTCTTTTCGGCCGCGAGCAGGTGCTCCTCTAGGAGGGCGACTGTGAGCTCAGTGGGACAGCGAGCAAGGAAGTGGTCTCGAACTGAGCGGAGGGTGTCAGGGAGACGGGTGACTATGAAGTGGAGTGTCCAGTACAGTGGAGGGGGGTTCTTAGCGCAGAACTCGGTGGGAAGGGCGGCACGCAGGCGAGCATCACTAGTGCGAAGGTGGGTGATAAGATCGGCGACTGTAGTAAAGGTGGACAGATCGGGGAACAGGTACGGCAGCATGAGGCGGCTAAGCTCGGCTGTGGCAGGCGAGGAGTAGCGAGCGACGACAGCGTCGTACAGGGCCTTAGCGGATTTGCAGTCGCCAAAATGCTCTAGCTCAGCTAACGGCAGGTGACTGCGAATGGCTAGGCGAGCAGCTGCGTCACGAGTCTGCCAGTGGGAACGAACACTAAGCTCAGCTGTGGCAGGAGGGGCAGGCGCAGCACCAGACGCGTAATCATAGAGCGACACATGCTCCTTGCTATCGCTCAGGAGGAACAGCTGCAGGTCATCTAGCCAAGCGGTGAACCGCACAGGGCGGCCCTCAGCATCGAACGACAGCACGCGGATGGAAGCCATAGCGACAGTGTGACAGAGTAACGCAAGCTGCCGCAGCAGGGGAAGGCGACTGTGCACGGATAGAGAGCAGCGGGCGAGGCTGGCGCTACGGGCAGGCGGCGCTGCAAGCGGTCAGCGCGACGGGAGGGCGACGCTGCGAGCGGGCAGCGCGGCGGACGGGCCGGGAAGCGGGCAGCGCGGCGGGCAGGCGGCGCTGCAAGCGGGCAGCACGGCGGGCGGGCGACGCTGCGAGGCGGGCGGGCCGCGAAGCGGGCAGCGGGCGGGCGGGCTGCGAAGCGGGCAGCGGGGCGAGCGGGCTGCGATGCGGGCGGGCCGCGAAGTGGGCAGCTAGCGGGCGGGCGGGCTGCGAAGTGGGCGGGCCGCGAAGCGGGCAGCGGGGCGAGCGGGCTGCGAAGCGGGCGGGCCGCGAAGCGGGCAGCGAGCGGGCGGGCGGGCTGCGAGCGGGCGGCTCGGCGAGGGGCGCGCGAGGGCGCTAGTGAAGGGGCGCGCGAGGGCGCTAGCAAGGGGCGCGCGAGGGCGCTAACGAAGGGGGCGCGCGAGGGCGCTAACGAGGCTAGGGCACGGGGTAGCGTGGTAACCGCATGCGAGCGGTGGTGGGCCCTTAAAAAAAAAAACGGTCGGTAGGTCCTAGGGACCTCCTGCTCTGAATACCATGTCAGAATCACTAGGCAAGAATGATGAACTAGCAGAAGTTTGGGTACAAATATCAAACCCTAGTTGGGGTTGTACCCCATATTGGCTACCCCACTACAGCCTACAAGCATAATACAGTTTAACATGTAACTCGTTGTGATTCTGCTCCTATGAGAAGAATCTTACACAAAAAACAAAAGCGGTTTACGAAAAAAATAACACTTGCTGAGGTTCCTAAAAAAAACTCTCTGACATATCCGTACCCACAAAGTTACTTCATTGAAATTAAGGTGGGATATCATTTTAATTATTTTAATGTTATTAGTTGCCGTAGCGATATTAGCAATATAAAGCATAGCTAATTAATACTAGTAGCGTATGATAAATATATTTCTTGTTTTGAACTACTTCTTGCTCCTTATCAAATCACGCAACATGAGTAAGCGCTTCTGGCACTTGAATATCTCAGCAAGGGCAGACGCCAGGGCTAACGTAAGAAGAAAAAAATAAGAAAAAGAAACAAGAGGTGACAAAGTCGTCGTAGGGTTGCGTATTTATTTCTGATATTACATTATTGTTATACTGCTACATATTTAATATAATTGCATGAAAATTACAAAAAAAAACCTAGTGACACACTACGTGGAAAATTTGCCGGCTGTTGAGCTCGAGACCTTTCCAACACTCGTTAGGGTACGTTCCTGGATCATGACACAACTTCCGATTTTAAAGGGATGACACAAAGCTGGCCCACAGCTGGCCCCACTTTGGCTCATTTAAGACCCACTTCGGATCTTCCAGCTAAAATTTGTCCCTCGTCTCGGAAGGCACGAAGTTTGACCGGAAGTGTGACACGAGCAAGGAACTCACCCTTATGTTAAACTGTATTATGCTTGTAGGCTGTAGTGGGGTAGCCAATATGGGGTACAACCCCAACTAGGGTTTCATATTTGTACCCAAACTTCTGCTAGTTCATTCATTCTTGCCTAGTTATTGTGACACCTTAGACTTCAGCCGACTATGCTGGACATCATTCAATGTGTCGCGAGCTTTGTTAATGTTAGCTCTAAATATTATGCGGAAGCGTTTAGACCTGGACCACGAAAACAAACTTGGCAACACTTAACTTCACTTTGGACCCTCCGAGTGCGACAGCTTGTCACCTCATAGCCAAGGGTATAAAAGATACAAAGTGAGTAGTTATGCCTTGCTTGAGTTGTGGAGTGAGGAATCTGGTCGAGCAGCGTTTCGGCAGCACCACGTTACGTTTCTACTCTCGTCAATACGTAGTAGTAGAATTCCAAGCTTTAAAAAGCATAATCACATTGATTGACTTGAAGCAGATACAAGCATACATTTATATAAAGTCCTAGACACACAAAGGGAGACATAAACAAAGGTAAAGCAGTTGCTTAACTGGAATCCAGGACCTCGCCTTGCTGTATTTGAAAACGGTTGTGAAACTGCTGAAGAATTTGGCTCAATCTGCTTCATTAGAATTAAAGCAACAGTATACTTTTGAAAGTAGGGCTTTCAAAATCCTAAGGAACTTGAAAGTGGTTACCAAATTTCAAGCCAAAAACTTGTACCAACCCCCCAACAAGTGCCTCTCGCTCATGTTCAACTCCTAAGGATATGCAAAAGGATACGGGTCTACGGGAGGTAGGTTTTGCACCACACCTGCCTAGGAAAAACTAGCAGCGCTCGTAAGTCGCTAACGCGCCACGTACAACATTTTAGACTCGTCACATAAAGATACAGCGCCATCCCTCTCCGCGCACGCTCAAACAGACATAGTTGCAATCTCGAAAATCCAGGTCGCTTGGTCTCGCGACGCAACGGAACAAGGCCGTACTCGTCGCGAAGCTGTTGCGACCTCTCCAAGTCGTCGCACAGATGCGAGTGTGTACGCGCCCCTGCATCCACAAGCTTAATTTTCGGTACTGTGGGAAAACAAGGCCTCGCAAGATTCTCAGGATCGCTATCTCGTCGCCAGACCTCCGCTTCGCGCCACCCCATCTCCCCTTCTCGCTGCCCGAGTATCAATTCCCACTGTACGATTCGGCGCTCGAGCCGCCCAAAATTCCCTTTCTGTAAGCTTACATCTTACCCTTTCCTGCTCCGCTCATCTCCCGGCTCGCATTATCCACTCGCGAAGCCTCACGTGCTCCTCTCGCATCCCCGCGCTCTCCTCCCGCTTACCCCGCGCGGCCTCCACACTTCTCCCCACGCGCACGACTCTCGCCTCCAAGCGCGGCCTCCTCCCGTTTTCCACTCGCAGCCTCCTCTCGCCTCCACGCGTGGCCTCCTCTTGCCTCCACGCGCGGCCTCCTCTCGCCTCCACGCGCGGCCTCCTCTCGCCTCCACGCGCGGCCTCCTCTCGCCTCCACGCGCAGCCTCCTCTCGCCTCCACGCGCTAAGGACCCGTCTCGCCTCCACGCGCCGCCTCTTCTCGCCTCCACGCGCAGCCTCCTCTCGCCTCCCCGCGCTCTCCTCCTGCCTCCCTGCGCGTGTGACCCTCGCCTCCCCGCGCGGCCTCCTCTCGCCTCCACTCGTGTCCTCCTCTCGCCTTCCCGCGCATGCGCATCTAGCATGCCTCGTCGGCTTCACCCTGCCTCACCTCGCTGCCTCTCCGCGTCTAGCGGCGGCCTCCTTTTGCAAGCTGCACTCGAATAAGGCCCTCGGCCCTCTCTCACTCTCATGCAACGTCTGTGCTTCCGCATCCCCACAACACTCCCTCAAAACCCCCCCTGAACGCCCTCTTTGCCCCACATGTACGCCCTCGGTTTCCCTGTATGCATGCCCACGTTTCCCCACCTACCACGCCCTCATTTTCTATCTTGTACGCCTTATTTTCCCCCTTGCACGATCGCATTTCCCCACCTGCTTGACCTAAATTGTCCCCTGCTTGCCATCAATTCTCCCCTGCTTGCCCTCACTTCTCCCTGCTTGCCCTTTATTCACCCCTGCTTGCCCTCAATTCTCCCCTGCTCGCCCTCAATTCTCCCCTGCTTGCCCTAAAGTCTCCCCTGCTTGCCCTCATTTGTCCCTTCTCCTCCTCCCGCCATGCCTTCTCCCCTCCCGCCACCCCCTCTTCTCCTCTCACCACGCCTTCTCCTCCTCTCGCCATGCCTCACCTCCTCTCACCATGCCTTCTCCTCCCCCCGCCACCCCTTCTCCTCCTGCCGCCACCCCCTCCCCTCCTCCCACCATGCCTTCTCCTCCTCCCGCCACCCCCTCTCATCCTCTCACCATGTCTTCTCCTCCTCCCGCCACCTCCTCTCCTCCTCTCACCATGCCTTCTCCGGCGCCCGCCATGCCCTCTCCTCCTCCCACCATGCCTCCTCCCACCATGCCTCCTCCTCCCACCATGCCTTCTCCAGCTCCTGCCATGCCTTCATTCACCCCCCGCAACCGCCTCTCCTCCTCCTGCCATGCCTCCTCCTCCTCCCACCATGCCTTCTCCTCCTCCCGCCACCCCCTCTCCTCCTCCCACCATGCCTTCTCCTCCTCCCGCCACCGCCTCTCCTCCTCCTCCCACCATGCCGTCTCCTGCTCCCGCGGCCCCTTCTCCTCCTCCCGCCATGCCTCCTCCTCCCACCATGCCTTCTCCTCCTCCTGCCATGCATTCTCCTCCTCCTGCCATGCCTTCTCCTCCTCCCACCAAGCCTTCTCCTCCTCCCGCCACCCCCTCTCATCCTCTCACCATGTCTTCTCCTCCTCCTACCAAACCTTCTCCTCCTCCCGCCACCTCCTCTCCTCCTCCCAACATGCCTCCTCCTCCCACCATGCCTTCTCCTCCTCCCGCCACCCCCTCTCCTCCTCCCACCAAGCCTTCTCCTCCTCCCGCCACCCCCTCTCATCCTCTCACCATGTCTTCTCCTCCTCCCACCAACCCTTCTCCTCCTCCCGCCACCTCCTCTCCTCCTCCCGCCACCTCCTCTCCTCCTCCCGCCATGCCTTCTTCTCCTCCCGCCATGCCTCCTCCTCCCACCATGCCTTCTCCGGCTCTCGCCATGCCTTCTCCTCCTCCCGCGACCCCCTCTACTCCTCCTGCCATGCATTCTCCTCCTCCCACCAAGCCTCCTCCTCCTCCCGCCACCCCCTCTCATCCTCTCACCATGTCTTCTCCTCCTCCTACCAAACCTTCTCCTCCTCCCGCCACCTCCTCTCCTCCTCCCAACATGCCTCCTCCTCCCACCATGCCTTCTCCTCCTCCCGCCACCCCCTCTCCTCCTCCCACCAAGCCTTCTCCTCCTCCCTCCACCCCCTCTCATCCTCTCACCATGTCTTCTCCTCCTCCTACCAAACCTTCTCCTCCTCCCACCATGCCTCCTCCTCCTGCCATGCATTCTCCTCCTCCTGCCATGCCTTCTCCTCCTCCCACCAAGCCTTCTCCTCCTCCCGCCACCCCCTCTCATCCTCTCACCATGTCTTCTCCTCCTCCTACCAAACCTTCTCCTCCTCCCGCCACCTCCTCTCCTCCTCCCAACATGCCTCCTCCTCCCACCATGCCTTCTCCTCCTCCCGCCACCCCCTCTCCTCCTCCCACCAAGCCTTCTCCTCCTCTCTCCACCCCCTCTCATCCTCTCACCATGTCTTCTCCTCCTCCTACCAAACCTTCTCCTCCTCCCGCCACCTCCTCTCCTCCTTCCACCATGCCTCCTCCTCCCACCATGCCTTCTCCTCCTCCCACAACCCCCTCTCCTCCTCCCACCAAGCCTTCTCCTCCTCCCGCCACCCCCTCTCATCCTCTCACCATGTCTTCTCCTCCTCCCACGAACCCTTCTCCTCCTCCCGCCACCTCCTCTCCTCCTCCCGCCATTCCTTCTCCTCCTCCCGCCATGCCTCCTCCTCCCACCATGCCTTCTCCGGCTCTCGCCATGCCTTCTCCTCCTCCCGCGACCCCCTCTACTCCTCCTGCCATGCATTCTCCTCCTCCTGCCATGCCTTCTCCTCCTCCCACCAAGCCTTCTCCTCCTGCCACCCCCTCTCATCCTCTCACCATGTCTTCTCCTCCTCCTACCAAACCTTCTCCTCCTCCCGCCACCTCCTCTCCTCCTCCCACCATGCCTCCTCCTCCCACCAACCCTTCTCCTCCTCCCGCCACCTCCTCTCCTCCTCTCGACATGCCTTCTCCTCCTCCCACCATGCCTCCTCCTCCCACCATGCCTTCTCCGGCTCTCGCCATGCATTCTCCTCCTCCTGCCATGCCTTCTCCTCCTCCCACCAAGCCTGCTCCTCCTCCCGCCACCCCCTCTCATCCTCTCACCATGTCTTCTCCTCCTCCTACCAAACCTTCTCCCCTCCCGCCACCTCCTCTCCTCCTCCCACCATGCCTCCTCCTCCCACCAACCCTTCTCCTCCTCCCGCCACCTCCTCTCCTCCTCTCGCCATGCCTTCTCCTCCTCCCACCATGCCTCCTCCTCCCACCATGCCTTCTCCGGCTCTCGCCATGCATTCTCCTCCTCCTGCCATGCCTTCTCCTCCTCCCACCAAGCCTGCTCCTCCTCCCGCCACCCCCTCTCATCCTCTCACCATGTCTTCTCCTCCTCCTACCAAACCTTCTCCTCCTCCCGCCACCTCCTCTCCTCCTCCCACCATGCCTCCTCCTCCCACCAACCCTTCTCCTCCTCCCGCCACCTCCTCTCCTCCTCTCGCCATGCCTTCTCCTCCTCCCACCATGCCTCCTCCTCCCACCATGCCTTCTCCGGCTCTCGCCATGCATTCTCCTCCTCCTGCCATGCCTTCTCCTCCTCCCACCAAGCCTGCTCCTCCTCCCGCCAACCCCTCTCATCCTCTCACCATGTCTTTTCCTCCTCCTACCAAACCTTCTTCTCCTCCCGCCACCTCCTCTCCTCCTCCCACCATGCCTCCTCCTCCCACCATGCCTTCTCCAGCTCCTGCCATGCCTTCATTCACACCCCCGCAACCCCCTCTCCTCCTCCTTCCATGCCTTCTCCTCCTCCCACCATGCCTTCTCCTCCTCCCGCCACTGCCTCTCCTCCTCCTCCCGCCACCGCCTCTCCTCCTCCTCCCGCCACCGCCTTCTCCTCTTGCCATGCCTTCTCCTCTCACCATGCCTTCTCCTCTTGCCATGCCTTCTCCTCCCACCCTGCCTTCTCCTCCTCCCCCCACCCCCTCTCCTCCTCCCGCCACCCCCTCTCCTCCTCCCACCATGCCTCCCCCTCCTCCCACCATGCCTTCTCGTCCTCCCGCCACTCCTTCTCCTCCTCCCTCACCTCCCCCCTGCTTCCCACCATTTCCCCGCCTGCTTCCCCATTCCCCCCTCTGCTCCTCACTCCCCACCTTCTCAACTTTCCCACCTCCGCTCTTTTTCCCCCTCTGCTTCTCTTCTTCCCCTCTTCTCCCCCCCGCTTTATGACACACCTCACCAGCCATGTCATCGTGGCGACGTGCTCCTCGGCGAAGGCTGACGCTTGGGTTCAGGGTTGGGGAGGAGGGTTCCGAGGATGATGAGCAGGAGAGTGGTCGACGACGTGTGCAGGGGTCAATGGCCACGGCAAGTACGGGTGCCATTTCCGCCCATACTGGTTCGGTTGCCGCTAGCACAACGCATCCCACTCCAAGGGTTCGTGCGCGAAGAGTTGTGCGACCAACAGGATTGCCCCCGCAGGTTCAATATGCAAAAGAAAGTTGGACAATTTCTCAGTTTGAGGAGCATCATGCCAAGCAGTATCATGTTCTTCTCAAATGGGCACGCCAATGGCTCGGATTGTCGGAGGGGGGGAGCGCGAGTGGTCAGGGATGAAGTGTGGCGAGCATATTGAGAGTGTGCTTGGGAAAAAACACGGATGAGGACTCTGAAGGTCGCCCTATGACCGCTAAGAACCATCGTTCCCGTTGCTACATTCAGTACTCTGCCTTGTTAGGTGATAAGTCCTTTGCACATGTGACTTTGCCGTGGCTAATCCACGTCGTGATAGGATCGCTCTACCCTGAACCAACGGACGAGGGTTACAAAGAGTGCAGTCAAGGTGATGTGGACTGGTTCAACCTGGAATGGGTCATCCCTGAAGAGATTGATTTTGGCATGAGGTCATTCGATGGTATGCATAGGACAATTGTCACGCAGGAGACACAGGAGTCTGCGATTTACTAACTGTTTGCTAGGGAGTATGTTTTATCGGTGACGACTTGCATGGGGGGGTCATATATGTTCCTCCCTTCCCTCTTTTGTTGGCCAAATGATAATAAGGTCAAGGAAGTAGCCCTATCTGTGTGGTCAGGTCTGGCACTTGGCTATCATTTCTTGTTCTTTCTCTTCGCTTCTTGCCATGGGGGCACGAGTTGCTCCAAGTGCCGCCACTATTAGAAAAAATGCAACCGCATGGCGTTCGCGTGTTTAGTGCAGCAGCATTGCACTTGTTGTCTCCAGCAGTGCACCACGAACGCTCCCTGGCTGGCAGTGCAGTGCTTGCTTACCCAAATGGTGCACAGAAATGCGCCTTTAGTGGGGAGGAGCAGTTGAGAGGTGGGCAAAGGCGGGGAAGAAAGTGAGAGTCGATCTGATGGGCAAGCAGGGACACAGACGGGGGTGGGAGGGTGGGGGTGAATAGAGAAGGGCAGATTAATGTCGGAGAGGATGTTGTGAGCGAGGATAGGAGATGGGCAGACGCACACATGGGATGAACGTGTGCGCAATTTATGAGCAATAGCAGAAACCACGAGCAGACAGCAGCAGCGTCCACACTCACTCACCTCATCATCAGTCTTCTCCCAGAGGTCCGTTTATGCCCACCTCCTCCCCTGCAGCATACGCACCACTTTTCATCCCTCTGTCATTCTCCTTTCCTCCTCCCGCACCTCCTCTGCTCCATTGTCCTCCTCTCTCGTCTCTCCATCCATCCATTTCTCATTGTCCACCCGCCCGCTTCTCTCACCATCCTCTCCATCATTCCCTCACACACCTACGCAGGAGCGTGCATCCAAGCCTGCACCCGAGCCTAATTCCAAACCAATTCCTGGCACAACATTCAGGTCCGTGTGGGCCAGAGCAGAGGCTTGGTCAGGAGGGCAGACGATGGTGGCTGGAGTGAGGCTACCAGGCAGGGAAGGGGCAGAGAGAGGCTGCTGTGACTCTGGCGCCACAGCACCCTCGGGTGGGGGAGGCAGGTGAATGCGTGTGTGACATGCGGTGGGGAGGATGCTGGGGGTGCGGAAATAAGGTGGGCGGGGAGGAGAGTGGTGGGAGCATGAGAGGTGAGGAGGACCCAAGCCTGGTGCTGCTGCCACTGTCGCTGCTGCTGCCGCTGACACTGCCACTGGCACTGCTGATGGTGACTGTTACTGCTGCTCATGTTGTTGCTGCTGCGGCGGCTAATGCGGTTGCTTATGATGCTAGCCTCTTTGCTTCTGCCCTCGACGAGACTGATGCATCCTTGGTGGCCGTGAAGGAGATGTGTAGATGCATGTTAAGCTCTGCATATGCGGGGGGGGGGAACAAGAGAGGGCAGCAGAGGATGGAGAAGGGGAGGAAGAGGTGCGCAGAGAGATGTGATGGGCCGCGTTCAGTGGAGAGAGGAGAATGCAGGAGCAATGGAGAGGGGAAAGTGATGGGGCTCGTACAGATGTGAGTTCTCCCCCCTTCTTTCTCAGCTTCCGTACCTTTCCACCCCAGCCATCCCATCCCGAGACCCAAGTTTACAGTCTCCTACCCCCTTCTTCCTGCTCTTTCTATACGTTTCTGTCCCTCTGTCCCTTATTTGCTCTTCACTTGCTCTCCCTTACCTCCTCCGGTCGCCCTTGTTGTCTCTGCCTCCCCCCTGCCCCTCACCCACTCCCCCAATCCATCTCTGCCCCCCCCCTGCCCATCACCCTCTCCCCCTATCCATCTCTGCCTTCCCCCTGCCCCTCACCAACTTTTCGGTTCAACTCTGTGGGGCGCGCTCAGCTCTGAGTTTGTGCAGAGGCAAATGGGGATATCATGAGGACGATATGGTGTGGAGAATGTGCATCAGATCTGTTTCGGTCTGAGTTTCAAAGTATTCATGCCTACCCCATATCCTCACCTCTCCCCCCCACACCACCTTCCCCTTCCCCCCAACTTCTACCGCCCCACACCTTCTTCCTGCCCTCACCTTGACTTCATGGCTGCCATAAGGGATGTCCCTATCGGACGCTTGAGACGTCTCCTGCATGGAGAATGAATTGGAATTGGAGATTAACCATTTCAGTAACTTTCAACCCGGACCGATAAAATTGAACGACGTGTGTGCAGGGGGCAAGGGGGGCACAGTGGGCACAGTGGGTCACACCATTCCAAGAACAGGGTAGACAAAACTCACCAAACAGGGTACGTCGATATGCAGTGGTTCCTTCATTGGTGTTACGCTGTCTCTTGGTGGGCGGTTCCGGCGTGGATGGAGCAGTGACGGCAGTATCCCTAGGTCCCCCCTCCTCTGCAACATCAGACGACATACAATCCCAATCCCTCATGATGTCATCGACCCAGCTCCAATCCATCGGGCCTAAGATCCTGGAGCGTTTGCCTCGCCAGACCCGAGTAGCACGGCGTATCCTGATTTTGGTTGCTCGCACTTCCCTTTCCAAACCCTGGTTCCAATGCAGCACAGTTAGCCCAGCTCGGGCTCTCATGCTTCCACAAAACAGTATGCGCTTTGGAGCATACTTGCATATCAGAGAATGGAAAGATTCATTCATCCAGTTGCAAGCCCCATGCACATATGGTCGCATCTCCTTTGCGCTTTCGCTAAGCCACTGCCTGAAAGCAAGATGCATTCGTGAACCATACTCGTATAATGCGCTCTCTTTGCCCCACTTATCCGTCACACATCTTGATCTCTCATATCCCCGACTGCAGCGCGAATGATCACCCGCCCAATGATCAGCTGCAACTCCAATCTCCTCGGCAACCTCCTCAGGTGTCATGGGACGGTTCGCTCTGAAACGAGCGGCACACCGTGCCATCACATGATGAAAGTGTATGCTAAATATTTGCGCCACCGAGACCTCCTCTAACACCCTGTCCGAACCCTCCCCCTCCTCATCTTGCAACGAGTCTCCACTCCTCTTCGGACTGCGTGGTTGCCTTTCCACCCACCGACGAGGTTGCTCTGGCGAATCGTTCTCCTCCCAAGCTGCGCCCGCCTGTTTGCCTGCATGTGCACCATGAATGAGGAACACGAATTGATACTGTTATATTCACAAAGCATGTATGGTTAGTTCTATTATTCAGCAAAAAAGCATAGTAAAGAACGTACCCGAGGGGACTGCGTCGCAGGTCGACCTCGTCGCTGATCTCATGCCTCGAGTCGCGTCGGTGTGGCACGATGCAAACGCATGCAAGAGAAGCAATGACGCGGTCGAGCACGGTCACACCCCATAATCAGGATGGGGATCATAACCCCACAGCTCCCCGACATCACTGTAATCTAGGTTTGGACCGACATCCTCCTCTACAGACCCAATAGTGTCATCATCAAGAATATCGATGGCAACAAAACCATCATACTTCTTAGGTGCACGCATGCCACCAGCCCTCGCTCCCCCCTTGCCCCCCCCCCGCCCAAGGCTCTCATCTTGTTGGGACTGCATGACAGGTACAACCACCGACTCACCCATCAAACCCCCTCCGATCTCTAACCCCTCTATGCCAGTCCTGTCAGGACAAGCATTAGACACGCTTGCTGCAGTGCATGTCGTACCTAGGTCGCGTTTGCGGCGCACTCGAGTGACACGTCGCATCTCAGGATAAAGATAAGGGGAGTTATCTTTAGACAGGTCAACAAACTGGAACTTCCTCACACGACAGACAGCCTCAATCAAGTCCCGCTTGGTTTTTTTTCCCTTCACTCCTTTTAGACTAGGGCATAAATGAACCTTCAACCAGGCCCGGAGATCCTCTACCTTCACAAACCACAAGTCTTCACACGTTTTCGCTTTTGAGATGTCCAAAACGACCTTGCGTGCATCCACAAAAAACCTAACAAACTTGCGTGACAACGATCGACCTTTGTGCCAGACATCCATCTGGTGCTCAATCCCCTCGCGAATGAACCCAACCTTGAAACTCGAACCTTCATCAGTAATGATACCTTTGACTGGAAACTCCCACTTTTTCAAGTCATTCAGGCCCTGTTTAAAAGCAATTCCTTCAAGCTCCGTCGACGAAACCCCCACCTCTGATTTTGGCAGTGTCACACAATGAATTATCTTACGTGTTTTGGGATCCATGAACGTGACACTGACCCACCCAGCCTCTCGAGGTTGCCCCCACCTCTCGTCGACACAAACCCAGTAACCATCCTCTTTCCTGGCTAGCATACACTCTCGCGCCCTTTCCATGCATCTGCTCGCATGCGTGATTCTTCTCCCACAATCCCCCCGCCCCACTCATGTACCTATAAAAAGTTCTTTTGCATAGGATAGGCACTCCAAGGTTTCTACCAACCTCCGACAATGCCTGATAGCCAAAGCCACCCAGGGCGAACGACGCAAGGAACCGCTGCAATATTGGTAGACGTTTCTGTCCTGGTCGGCCAGCATCATTTGGTGGTGGTTGGCGGTCTACCGACCACAGCGACATAGATTTACCGCACTTATCACACCTCCAAACCATGCCGAGGGCAGCCCACATCATGTTCCAAGACCGCAACCTCATTGAACCTCCACATCCACCCCCCATCGTACAGTGTAGCGTCACCACCATGAAAAATCGAATGAGGTGGACGGGGTTCAACAGACAGACGACGTCGTGCAACCCAGAAAGGGACGGTTGGGCTGGCCACCGTCCGGGTGAGGTCTCATGTGAATCTTGTACCCTGGCGCGTCCCTAAGGGATTAGAATATGGGGAGATTAAAAAAAAATGTTAGATTTCAACAAATTTGAGACCTCACGGCATCCCAAACGAGGAATCATTTCGTGAAATAACTGTGATGTGTTCAGGTGGCAACCATAAGGTCGTGACAATAAGCGTCACACCAATACGTACCCTGCATGAGCTTGATCCTCATCATTCTCTGGGGTGGTCCTAGGGGCGCATGCTGGAGGCGCGCCATGCCCATCGACATCCTCGTGCTCGACGGCCGAGGGGACATCACCAACAGCCACGGGTGCATCCGGGTCAATGTCAATGACCACATGATGACGCTCCTCAGGCTCCTCGCTCTCATCCTCAACAACTAGCGTGGGTGTCGTGGCTGTCTCTCCACCTGCAGAGAACATAGGAGCATTCTCACCAAGAAGATATGATCGGTGCCATTGGAAGCTATCACCGAGGAAGGGTCTAGAGACGTTTGATTCACAAACTTGCATTCATACCTTTCTGCAGCAACTCTGAATACGCAGCCCCGCGACGTGCACCCCCATGGCCAAACCGGGAAGCGCTGCTTCGTGTCGTGCCGTTGGCCACATTTGATGGGAACGCGTAGACCAACCCTCCAATGGCACTCGCACGTCCAGTCACCAAGGACTCCGGTCGCCCAATCGTCCGATCCTTTCCTCCTTGAAAATTTCCGGCAAACTTTTCTAAACATTCTTGCACGGCCATTTCTGCCTCCACACCGGCAGCACCTGAACGCATGCCATTCACACCAGACTTGGCATCAATGCATGTTCAGACTGTCCGTACTCAGAACAGGCACCTGATTCGTCATTATGTTTCCGCGTTGCTCACCGGCTTTCCGGTTCAAACTTGCGACTATGTATTGAGTCACTCACTAGCGTTCATCGCGGCCATCATAAGCGCATCCTTTGCTCCGGGACCAGCATGTAGGAGGAAGTACACTAAATCACCCAAGGTCGCCGTCCGACCTTCTCCCATCAAGGCGCTCAATCCACAACGTAAGTAGCATATCGGAACCCGCATGTGTTTAGCTATCGCAAGACTCTCGTTGTCCTTGGTGTTCACGATCTCTTTCACCTTGTCCTTCCGTGCCGTGGCCATTGTTTTTTTCGGACGACCCATTCCACACACCTGCACGGAAACTACTCACCATGCAAACGGGGAGGTGAGGCCAAGTCAGTTAGATACTACTAGCAAGGCAGAGGGGGGTGGGAGGCCAAGCAGGTTCCAAACTACTAGCCATGCTATGGGGGAAGTGAGGCCAAGTAGTTTGGAAACTACTAGCCATGCAATGGGGGAAGTGAGGCCAAGCAGGTTGGAAACAACTAGCCATGCAATGGGGGAAGTGAGGCCAAGCAGGTTGGAAACTACTAGCCATGCAATGGGGGAAGTGAGGCCAAGCAGGTTGGAAACTACTAGCCATGCAATGGGGGAAGTGAGGCCAAGCAGGTTGGAAACTACTAGCCATGCAATGGGGGAAGTGAGGCCAAGCAGGTTGGAAACTACTAGCCATGCAATGGGGGAAGTGAGGCCAAGTAGGTGGAACATTGCTGTTCATGCATAGGTGAAATTGCTGGCGAGGTAGGGGGGGAATGTAGGACCAAGGGGGAAGGGCAGCGGGGGAGAGGCAGGACAGGGTGTGTACGGCAAAGACGCGTGAAGGCAGGGCAGGGAGGGAAGGGAGCAATAAGGTTGACTCAGCTCGTGTAAAAATTGCTCGCTTTATGGGTGTAGGTGCTCTAGGCTGCGATGAGGTGGTGGAAGGGAGGGGAGATAGTAAAAAGGGGGTCGGAAGAGGGTGGATATGCGTAGAAGCATATGGGGGATGGAGGGGAATCAGAGGGGGAAATAAGGGGAAGGAGAGGGGAGAACGAGGGGAAGTAGAGAGGGACAAAAGGGGAAGGAGTGGGGGGAACGAGTGGAACCAGAGGGGGAAATAAGGGGAAGGAGGAGGGAGAAGAGAAGAGGGGAGCAGAGGGAGAAATAAGGGGAAGGAGGGTCGGGAACGAGTGGAAGCAGAGGGGGAAATAAGGGGATGGAGAGGGGGGAACAAGGAGGAGCAGAGGAGTAAATAAGGGGAAGGAGATCGGGGAACAAGGAGGAGCAGTCTTGGTAAATAAGGGGAAGGAGATGGGGGAACGCGGGGGAGCAGAGGGGGTAATAAGGGTTTGGTGCATGGAAACGAGGGGACCCAGGGACAAGCGAGGGTGCTCGGGGACATTTGAGCCAAGGGCAATCAGGACGACCAATCCGAAATTCCCGCATGCTAAACCCAGTATTACTTACGGGGAACTACGCAGTTACGAGCGCGTGTGATGAGTTTAGGGACATGCGAGCAGCTGGAGACGCGTTCAGTTGGTGACGCGAGAAGCCGGCAGAACTGGGGGGGGAGAAGTGGGGGAGAGGGTGAACGGGGGCATGCAGATGGAAAATAAAGGGGAAGGAGAGGGGGGAACGAGGGGGAGCAGAGGGGGAAACAAGGGGAAGGAGAGGGGGAAACGAGGGGAATCAGAGGGGGTATAAGGGAAAGGAGAGGGGGAACGAGGGGGATCAGAGAGGGAAATGAGGGGAAGGAGAGGGCGGAACGGGTGCATGGAGGGCGCCTGGTAAGGCCATGTCGCATACCTCGGGTGAAGGTCGGAGGGGCAGAGACGGTAAGGGAAGGGAATGGGGACTCGGTATCGCTTGAGTGCCGTAGCAATGGACCGGGCGATATGAATGCGAGGGAGCGAGGAGGGGTAGTTTATGGCTGACTCACCTTGAGCACGGGGTTTGGAGCTCCGGAAGAAGTGATAGGGCGAAGTGGGGAAGTGGCGAAATGGCGTGCGTGACTCGCGGTTCGCAGCGCGTGTGATGTATTTCGGGACATGCGAGCAGCTGGAGACGCGTTCAGTTGGTGACGCGAGAAGCCGGCAGAACTGGGGGGGGAGAAGTGGGGGGGATGCCGGACGAAATGAGGGGGAGCAGTAAGGGAAATGAGAGGGAGAAGAGGGTGAAGTGAGGGAGATCAGTGGGGGACATAGAGCAAGGGAGGAGATGAGAGGAAGAAGGGGGGCCAATGGGGGGGGAGACGGGGTGGAAATGAGATGGATAAAGGAGGGAAATGAGTTGGAGAAGTGGGGGGAAGTGTGGAGGAGCAGTGGGGGAAATATCGAGGGAGCAGAGGGGGGTGAAATGCGAGGTGGAAGGGCGGAAAATGGGAGGGAGAGAAGGGGGGACTGAGGAGGTGTAGTGGGGGGATTGAAAGAGGGAAGGGGGCAAAATGAGGGAAGAGGGAGGGGAAATGGGTCCGTGTCAGGAGGTTAGACGACGGGCTTCCCCGCATTCATTCGCGCGTGACCATTCAAAGGTGGCTATTTGGCCTGCTCGACGCATGGGAGAGTGAGTTGTTGACGAAACAGCGACGAATGGGAGGTGAGCAGCATGTGAGGCGACCGCCTCGACATTTGCAGCCCTTGGGGCGATCTCGACATTCGCCCGCAGCGCGAGCAGTAGGTGAGGCCAGCAGAGGGCGAGCGTGAAGCTGGTGTCACCCTTAGCGAGGCGAGCTAGGTTACACGAAAAGCACTCGCCTGCGCTCAAAAGCCAGAGGAGTCGCAGTGGTTGAGGCGCTTAGCGGTGAGGCACTTAGCAGGTGAGGCGCTAAGAGGTGGGGCGCGAAGGGGTGAGGCGCGCAGCGGGGCCTCATTAGGCCTAATCGCGACACCACCTCCGCTTCGGTATGATACGCGAGTCGCTCGCGTCTCGCCTAATCGCGAGAAGTATTAGGCCTAATGAGGCGCTAGGGGGTATCATTATGCCTAATGGTACCCCGGTTTGATACGGGGGTCGCTCTCAGCGGGGCGTTATGAGACGCGAGCACCTCGCTAAGGTGGTGTCGCGAGCTGCGGGTTCGGCACTCGAGCATAGGGTTCGGTGAGAACGTCGCTGGCGACGGGGAAGTGCGGCGCGCCAATCCGAAGGCCATTCCTACATCTATCGCACCTTATATGCACGAGTCTATGCATTACTTGAATGAGGTGTTTGCAGAAATTCTTACTCAGTCCTCCTACTGCCAGGTTTGTGACACGTGTCGCCTTACCACCCGTGCTTCTTTTAGTTGTAGCGCTGCTCCTCGCCCCTCGTAGTCTACTTTTATGTAGATGTATCAAGACCTTACCTAGAAATTAGTCGCTTATCCTTCGGTCCCTTGTTGTCACTCTAGGGGTTGGGTGTCGGGAGTATTTCTCGAGTTTGCAACTCTCAGCCTTCCAAATTTTTGCCTGGCCTCTCGCCAAGCCCATTCGTTTTCGTTGGGGTTTGCCTCTGGTGGGTACTGTTCCAAAACCAACTAGCAGTACTTTCAAATGTATACTGCTGCTTGGGTTGAAACCAAACTCCCCTGCTGACTCCCGTCATTAATTTCTGCGAGTTCTCATGAGGAATCATGGTCACTCGTGTGAGAAACCGTTTTCTCGTTGTAAAACGGAATTTACCGTTGATAAAACGGTATTTACCGTTTTGTACCTGCGTCGAAATGATCACGCTAAGCAGCGTGACTTTCGAGCGAAGTCGGCTGTGTTCCAGGTCAGCGCGGGATACGGTTAGTCGACCGAAATCCCGTGGTACCCCCGGTCAAGCGAGAAAAGCCGATCGCTGACGCGATCGTGCTTTGTCTCGCGTGGGATAGGACATTAAAATGACCTGTCTTGTTGCGATCGTGCAACTGTGCACGGTCGCAACAGTTGCGACACACGCGCGGGCCCTGAGGGGCCACACGCGCATGTCAGGACCCCACGCGCGGGTCCTGACTTTCGCGCACTTTTTGACCGCGCAAAATCGGTCAAAGGGTCCGAGTCAAAGACTCGAGCCCAGCACCCCCCGGCACACTCGACACTCGCCACGAGCGCTCATGAAAGTTCGTGAACTTTCATGAGCATTCATGATGCCCGTAAATTTCATGAACGCTCACGGATGTTCATGAAAATTGACGAACGAACATGAGTCGTCATGAGAATTCATGACTCGTCATGATCCGTCATGGCTTGTTACGTGCCCACAACAAAAACGCATGAAACAAAATGCAAAAACGAATGCACACAAAACACACACAAAATGCGGGACTTCATGCAGGCGGCTGGTTGACGTGCAAAAATAGTATTTGCACCCAACAAACTCCCCCTCAAGCAGTCGCCTGCTTGCAACTCCTTGCATGAGCCTAGTTAAAGCTCATACCACACAGCTTAGCACAGCGCCAGTGAGGTTCTTCAGCCAGCCGCTTCGTGAGAAAATCTGCCGGCTGCTGCTGTGTTTTCACATAGAGAGGCTGAATTGATCCCCTCTGCACTTCCTTGCGCAGCCAATGCCATTTGATCTGCATGTGCTTTGTGAGCCCATGCAGGACTACGTTCTTTGACATGGCAATTGCGCTGGAGTTGTCACAAAACAGCGGTGTAGCCGTTTTCTGCTCATGCCCTATCTCCTCCAGCAGCTTCCTCAGCCAAATCAGCTCCTTGGCTGCATGATACATTGACATGTACTCGGCTTCAACAGAAGAACCCGCCGTTTCCACCTGTTTCTTTGACCTCCAGCTCACGGGCCCACCACCAAACACACACACACATATCCTCCCACTGACGACATGTCTTCCTTTTCCGATGCCCAAGTTGCATCAGCATACCCTGTGAGAAACAACTCCCTTTCTCCAAGATTCTCTCCCTTCTCCTTGAGAACCTCTGCTCCTTTCTGCTTCCTTTGAGCCACGGCCGAGTATTGAACTCCAACGGTGGGATAGGAGTTCAAATACTTGATGATGCGCTCAGCTGCATCCACCTTTTCCTCGGTGGGATTTTGTACCACCCTAGCCAGCTGCCCCACAGCAAAAGAGACATCCGGCCTTGTGTGTACGGCTGCATAGAGCAAACTCCCCACCATTGACTGAAAACGAGCTTGCTCCCGCTGATCCACCCCTTCGTTCTCACCGGCCTTGATGAGTTTGAACTCGGATGGAAGTGGTGTAGCAATCTTCCTTCCGACCTCAATCTCATACTTGCTCCCCATGTCCTTGATATACTTCTCCTGGTGCAGCTTCACCCATCCATTGCTGACATCCCTTTCAATGTGCATCCCAAGATAGTAGTTCGCCTCCCCCAGGGTCTTGCACTTGAAGTTTTGCATCAGCTTCTGCTGCACCTTCATCACCTCCTGCTTGCTGCTCCCGAACAAGAGGATGTCGTCCACGTACACCAGGTACATGACGAGGCTCTCCTTCTCCCCCATGAGGAAGAGACCCTCATCACATGCACTTGCCCTGAAGCCTATCTCTTCTAGAACCGAAGACAACTTGTTGTACCAGCAGCGTGGTGCTTGTTTGAGGCCATAAATGGCCTTCTTCAGCTTGCACACACGCCCGGTACCGTCCTCATAACCCGGCGGCTGCGACATGAACACCTCCACATCTATCAGCCCATAGAGGAAGGCTGTGGTGAAATCCATCTGGACTATGACCCACCCACACACAGCTGCACCGGCGAGGAGAACACAGATTGTTGGCGTCTTTGCAGTTGCCGCAAATGTTTCCTTGAAGTCTTCCCTTTCCTTTTGCTGGTGTCCCCTTGAAACCAGCCTGCTCTTGTAAACTGACACGGCTCCTTTGTTGTCAGTTTTAATCCTAGGAATCCAGCCACACTTTATGGCTTTCTTCCCCTCCGGCAGTGGCACCAGCTCCCATGTCCCATTTTCCATTTGGCTGTTGTATTCCGCATCCATTGACGCCAACCACTTGTCCCTATCCGGTCCTTTCAGCGCTTCTTTCATGGTGAGCGGTTGAGTCGGTGCGGGGGCCATGAAGCAGTAGACTTCCTCCTCCTCTTCCTCATCAGAGTCACAACTACTTTGAAGCACCAGAAATGCGTCGGTTTGCTGCTGCTCTCCCCTTGCTCCTCCGTATTCCCTCAGCTTTAATGCGGCTGCACACATCTGCTTTTCGATCATGGGTGAAAGAGCACGACCTGTGGGAGGGGTTTTGATTTGGGTCCTTCTTTGGGGAAGGGTGGGGGGAATCACACGAGTTATGGGGTGAAGTTCCTCAGGTGTAATCATTGGTTCCACGTCTTTGACCACGGGAAGCTCTGATGCACCCTCCTCTTCGTGTGCCATTGTGCCTTCCTCTCCTTCCCACTCCTCCGCTTCAAACCCCATCGTTGTTTGCTCCAGCTGCTGCATGAGTTTCTCCTTTGGCTGCTTGGACCAGCTCCCGTAGGTGATGTCCTCTATGAATTTGACATCCCTGCTGTCAAACACCACTCCCTTGCTCGGCTCCCATAGCAGCCACCCCTTGCTTTCCGCTGCCAGCCCCAAGTGCACACACCAAACAACTGTTGCACCCAACTTACTACGGTGTGCCTTAGGGATGTGAGCCATTGCCATGCAGCCAAACACACGCAACATATCAATGGGCGGCTTCCTTCCAAGCCACCTCTCCATGGGGACCCATGACTCACCACCAACGTTGGTGAACACCCGGTTCTTCACCACCGTGGCGTGGCGCACAGCATGTGGCCACTTGGGGTTACCCAACCCCGACTCGATGAGGAGTGCACGTGCTGTCTCCAAGACCGTGCGATTTGCCCTTTCAGCTACGCCGTTGGACTGCGGTGTGTATGAGGTGGTGAGCTCGCGGATGATGCCCTGCTTCTTCAGCCATGCAGTCAGCTCCTCCCCAAGGAACTCCCCACCCCGGTCAGTCCTAATCCGCATCACCTTGTGCCCGGACTGCTTCTCCACCAACGGCAGCCAATCGTCACGGATGATGGACGGCACGTGGTCCTTCTTCTTGATTGGATAGGCCCAAGTCACTTGGCTCCAATCATCGACAATCATAAGAAAATACTTCTCACCCCGTTCCCCTATCACCGGTAGCGGCCCCACCACATCCATGTGCACGAGCTCTAAGAGCTTCTTGCCGCCACCCTCGGTTGCATGAAAGGGGAAGCGTGTAAACTTGCTTAGCATGCAATTTTCACACTTGTGAGAGACTGCTGCACCAATCAGCTTCAGCCCCTTGACCCCTTCCCCCTTTTGCAGTTGCTGCAGTGCGGGCATAGCTATGTGCCCAAGGCGATGGTGGGCTGTCATCCAGTCTGTTTCGCTGCTCCTCGCTGAAACCTTCAGCTCCTCTGCAGCTACAGCATTGCACTCCCCCTCAAATCCACCCTCCTTGCCCCATGACAACACCGGTAGCTGCCACATGGACTTGCAAATGTCGCGGTTCTCGTAAAGGTCCCTCAACACCCGCTTTCCCAGCTGCCCCGTGAATGTCTTGGCACCATCGGTGGAAGTGCTGACCCCACATTCGCCTAGCTTCCTGAGAGAGATTAGATTTGCCTTGAGGTCAGGGACAAGTAGCACCTCGCTCAGCACCACCGGCTTGCCGTCGGCTCCTTTGAAAAGAGCACGTCCCGCCCCCGTGCCCGGATGCCGACTTCACCTCAGCAATCGGTGCGGTCCCCACCTTGTCCAGGAGCTCGGCCCGTGGAGTCATTGTCCATGCCGCTCCCAAGTCCAATATCCACGTGTTGAGCGGGTGCAGTGAAGCTCCAGCATGGGCGATCACCGCTTCCTCTTCCGGCTCCCCAACGTGGAAGAATTGACCGGCTTCATGTTGCTCACATTCAGCCAGTTCTTCATCGGCTACCGCTCCGGCGCTGCTCCCATCCTTGGTCCTGTTGGAGGGGGTCCACCATGAAGGTATAGAACGACACTTAAACCAAGGGTGACCCACCTTCTCACAATACCAGCACTTGCCCTCCATTTTCCCGCCTCCTTTTCCTCCCCCTTTGCCACCACGACCTCCACCACGTCCCGTTCCCTTGCCACCTTGCTGATTTGAGGGCTCCTCATTCTTAGCAGCCCCCCTCCCCGCCCCTTGCCACTTCTTGCCTTTACCCTCTTTGCCTCCTTGCATGGCATAGCTGCTGCTCCCCTCTTCACTTCCCCTTAATTGACGCCTCCGGAAGTCCTCTTCGAGTATCTTGGTGCGGATCCACTCCAAGGTCTAGAGACTCTGGTTTTGGGGAAGGCTCAAGCCGCTCGTGAAGATCATCCATGACTCCGGTAGCAGCGACAACATCTTTACACACTTGGTTTACTCGGGGTAGGCAATTCTGGCGATGGCAAGCTTGGCGTAGAGTTCTCTCAGCTTGTCTAGGATCGGCTGAACGGGTTCTCCTTCACTAAGGCGAAGGGTGGAGAGCTCTCTCTCTAGCATGAGAGTAGCTACAATTGATGTGGGTGCATGGAGGTCCTTGAGCACGGCCCATGACTTGGGACCGCACTCTTCATCCGGGAGGAGGTGGGTGATATGCTGGTGTTGGGCGAGATCTAAGCTTTGAGACAAGATGTAATACCCGGCGGATGAGTGTTCGTCCCACTCGTTCTTGTTGGAGGTTGCGTGGGGCTAGGTTTTACCCCCAATCCACCGAACGTGTTACTTCTAGTGCTCACTTTCAAGTGAGTTGCAGTTTTGCGTGGGGTTGAAGGATTGACTTCGGAAGACCCATCGATTCGGTGCCACATGGCAGCACCAGGAACATTCGAGACCCAAGGAGAATTCGGATCGGTGAAATTCAAGTGTCGAATTTCACCCCTTCGAAATGTTACGAGAACATTCGCGAAGTATAGCGATGCGATGTTACGAACGCGGTTCGATGTTGATTGCATGCTATAAAACTAGTTGCTTTGTATTGCATGTTTCATACTGAAATTGAGAATCACTTTGTAAGTGATACATTCGACTACAAAATCCAGAGAGTAGTTCCTTTGTTCTAAGAGCACTAGTAAGCACATAAAAGCCTAGAACTCCCTCGTTACTTGGGCGAATCGTGTGTTTGACGGCTCGTTGGAAAGCCAACAGAGTGCTCTATCGTTTAGTGCAGATCCTAGTTCCTGCAAGGTAGAGGACACGCCTTTACAACAGTGGTATCAGAGCTAGTCGGAGGAGTCTACGCGAGCGACGAGAAGCAAGCATGCCGACTTCAAGCGAGGCCTCCCGCACTTCCTTGGATGGTGTCGTTGTAAATTCCGGCGAACCCTGGGCAGCCGCGACGATGTACGACACGTCGGCGGTACCGATTTTCACGGGACAAAACTACTCCACGTGGAAGTTTAAGTTCCAAGTACTCATGATGGCGCGGTGACTTTGGGGTCTCTTCGATGGGACGGAGAAGAAGCCGGACGACGAGAGCGACATCGCGGCTTGGAAGAAGAAGGACCAAAAGGCGTTCGCTACGCTAATCTCGCGGATCGGCATCAACCTCGTGAGCTCGGTGCGCACGTGCATCAAGCTCGAAGCGTCGGCGCATGAGGCGTGGAAGCGGCTCGAGACAATGCACGTGAACAAGACTCTCCACGGCAAGATCCTAGCCCGGAATGTGTTCTACACGGTGAAGTTGCGCGCGGGCGAATCGATGCACGAGTATGCGACTCGTGTGGAGGAACTTGGGGAAACGTTCGTAGACCTCGGTGGAACGGTCACGGAGGAGGATTGGATTTTGACCTTGCTTTGCGGTCTTCCGGAAGAGTGGTCGACGGTGATAACGACACTCGATAGCGTGCAAGACACTTGGACAAAGGAAACGGTGGTCGGTCGGCTTCTCCATGAGGAATCGCGTCGCCGACAATTCGCTAATGAGAGCGTGGAGACCGCCATGTTCTCCGGAGGGAGTTCCGGAGGAAAGTCCAAGTGGAGCAAGGGTGCGACGAAGAAGTCGTACGGTGGAAGCGATCGCGGCAAGGGGAACACATCAAACGGCGCGAGCAAGTGCCACTATTGCGGCAAAGCGGGACACTTTTGGCGAGAGTGTCGGAAGCGCCCGAGCGATTGGACTCCATCTAAGGCGCGGAACCAAGAGGGCAACGCGCACACGGCATCCGGCGAGGCGGATGATACAAGGGAGTCGATCGTGTTATTGGCCGGTGACGGGACCAACACTCCAAACGACGCGTGGTTCCTTGACACAGGCGCAACACAACACATGACTCACTCGGCATCGTTCCTCGCCAACGTTGGTGCACCGAGAGACGTCACGCGCGTCGTCTTCGGAAACGGCAAGTTGCTACCGGTGGTTGGAGTTGGGAGTACGCGTCTCATCGTCGATGGCGGACCGGTGGACATCACGAACGTGCTTCACGTCCCGGGATTGAACGTGAATCTACTCTCCGTCACTCAACTCGCGAAGAAGGACGTGAAGTTCACCATCGATGGCGCACATATAAACCTCTTTTGGAAGGGGAAGCAATTCGCACAAGGTGTTCTCAACGGAGAACTCTACCAACTCAAGACGCATTCGGGAGCGGCTTCATGCAACGTGGCGCAAGGCTCCAAAGCGACTCTTAAGGCGTGGCATAATCGACTTGCGCACGCCAACTACGACTCGGTCAAGGAGTTGGTCAACAAAGAACTCGCGAAGGGAATCGACGTGATCGCCGACTACGACAAGAAGGGCGTGTGCGGGGCGTGTGTCGAAGGAAAAATGGCTCGCAAGCCATTTAGTAGCCGTACTTCTCCCCTCGCTAAGGACCCGCTTGCGCTTGTTCACATGGACGTGTGTGGACCGATGCGGTGTGCATCAAAGGGAGGAGCGCGGTTCCTCTTGGTGATGCTCGACGACGCGACGCGGATGTGTTGGACCCGACTCTTGAAGGCTAAGGGAGATGCGGCCAAGGCGATTCAAGAGTGGGCGCTCGAAGTTTGCGACGACGACAAGAAGCGGATCAAGTGTATTCGCACCGACGGTGGTGGCAAATTTGTGAATGCGGAGCTCGAGAAATGGATGAAATGCAAGGGCATTAAGCACGACGTCACAACACCCTACACACCCCAACAAAATGGAGCGGCGGAGCGGCTTAATCGCACGTTGGTGGAAGCCGTTCGTTCACTACTTCAACACTCCAAGCTTGGGAGCGAGTGGTGGGGAGAGGCGAGTGCGCTAGCGGCGTGGATTCGTAACCGCTTGCCGACCAAGGTGCTCCCGGGAACGACTCCGTTGGAAGCATGGACCGGAACAAAGCCGAACCTATCCCGCCTTCGCACCTTTGGATGCCTTTGCTACTACCATGTCCCGGATCCCCTTCGCCACAAGTTGCAACAGAAGGCTCGTGCGGCGATATTCTTGGGAATTGCGGCGAACGAGCGTGCGTGGCGAGTGTGGGACTTGGATGAAAGGCGCGTCGTCACATCTCGAGACGTTGTCTTCGACGAAGACAAGTTTCCGACGAAGGAACAACCAACGCCGCAACTCACCGTCGTACTTCCCGCACAAGAGGAGGATGAGGCGGTGGAGGTTCCATCACAAGCGGAAAAGGAAGCCGAGAATGGAGAGGGAGAGAACGAGGAGAGCGATGACGATGTCGTGGAGGTGCCACCAACCGAGGAGGCAACTTCCTCCGCACCTTCTTCCCTACCATTGGCGTTGACCCGTGGGCGTCGTACACCTCGCCCCAACACGAAGTTAACCGACTACGCTACGGTGGCCATTGGGGAGTTGGATGAGGAGCGTGCGGCATATTTCTTCGCAACCATGGGAGTTGACCCTCGCACCTACGCGGAGGCTTTGGCTTCTCCGGATGCACCACTATCGAAGCAAGCGATGGAGAAGGAGCTAGCATCGATCAAGGAGAATGATGTGTTCGAGCTCGTCGACCCGCTGAAGGGTGCCTACTTGGTGGGGTGCAAATGGGTGCTTAAGAAGAAGTTGGGAGCCGATGGGAGTGTCGAACGCTACAAGGCGCGGCTTGTAGCTCAAGGGTACACTCAACGGGAGGGGGAGCACTATAGTGAGACTTTTGCTCCCGTCGCTAAGGCTACAACTCTTCGGGTGTTGCTTGCTCTCGCGGCATCGCTTAACCTCGAGGTGGAGCAATTGGACGTTTGCACCGCCTTCCTCTACGGGCTTCTTATGGAAGAAGTATATATGCGGCAACCCCCGGGGTACGATGACGGTAGCGGAAGGGTGTGGAAGCTCAAGCGTACACTCTACAGCTTGAAGCAAAGTCCACGCGGATGGTACAAGCGCATCGACGACTTTCTTCTTCAACACGGCTTCACACGTAGCGAGTGCGATAGCGCTTTGTACGTGTTGAAGGAGGGGGAGAAGCAATTGGTGCTTTTGCTACGTGGATGACTTACTCCTCTTCTCCGACTCCAAAGACCTCATTCGGGAGGTCAAGCAACGGCTCGGGTCGGAGTTTGCTATGAGGGACTTGGGGCCGGTCACGTACTACCTTGGGATGCACGTCGACCGTGACCGAGCCAACGGGACCATCCACCTCCACCAAGAGAAGTATGTGAAGGGGGTAGTGGAGAGCTTCGGCATGGGCAATAGCAAACCGGTGGGAACACCACTAGCTACGGGGTTCTCTTGCCTCACGGGAGAGGAAGAATCCACCCTCGATGAAGCCGAAGGGAAGCGGTTTCATTCGCTAGTGGGCTCGCTCATGTATGCCGCCGTTTCTACTCGTCCCGACCTCGCATACGCCGCCGGGGTGCTTGGACGAGTCGTGAGCAACCCTCATACCGAGCACGTGCGTGCGGGAGGACGCGTTCTACGCTACCTCCAAGGCACACCTAACTTGGGGCTCGTGTATGAAGCCGGCCCAATTGAACTCAAGGGCTATGCCGACTCGGACTACGCGGGAGATCCGAGCACGCGCAAGAGTACCTCCGGGTACGTCTTCACCTTGCTTGGGGCAGCCGTGAGTTGGCAAAGCAAGAAGCAACCAACCGTGGCTCTAAGCTCAACGGAAGCGGAGTATATGGCACTCACTCAAGGTGCCATGGAGGCGATATGGCTACGGCGTCTTCTAGCGGAGCTTGGGCATCCTCAACCCAACCCAGCTCCTCTCTTTTGTGACAACCAAGCTGCCATGAGCCTCTCTCACAACGCCGTCCTTCACGGGCGAACCAAGCATATCGAAGTGAAGCATCACTTCATTCGTGAGGCGGTTGAGAAGGGTGAGGTAAAACTCACTTATGTAAGCACCAAAGCTCAACCGGCGGATTTCCTCACCAAACCACTCCCTAAGGATTCATTCCGTGCATGCTGTGAGCGTGTTGGATTGAGCACCTAGTGGCTTGGGTGCAAGGGGGAGTGTTGGAGGTTGCGTGGGGCTAGGTTTTGCCCCAAATCCACCGAACGTGTTACTTCTAGTGCTCACTTTCGAGTGAGTTGCAGTTTTGCGTGGGGTTGAAGGATTGACTTCGGAAGACCCATCGATTCGGTGCCACATGGCAGCACCAGGAACATTCGAGACCCAAGGAGAATTCGGATCGGTGAAATTCAAGTGTCGAATTTCACCCCTTCGAAATGTTACGAGAACATTCGCAAAGTATAGCGATGCGATGTTACGAACACGGTTCGATGTTGATTGCATGCTTTAAAACCAGTTGCTTTGTATTGCATGTTTCATACTGAAATTGAGAATCACTTTGTAAGTGATACATTCGACTACAAAATCCAGAGAGCTCCTATCCTTTGTTCTAAGAGCACTAGTAAGCACATAAAAGCCTAGAACTCCCTCGTTACTTAGGCAAATCGTGTGTTTGATGGCTCGTTAAAAAGCCAGCAGAGTGCTCTATCATTTAGTGCAGATCCCAGTTCCTGCAAGGTAGACGACACACCTTTACAACAGTTCTGAAGCTCCGAGTCACTGGGTCGTTCTCGCTACCAATCATGAGCTTAAGAAGACCTATCTGCCGAAAATACAGCTGCATCTTCCAGGAATAGTCGTCATAGCCCTCTCCACTAAATTTGTCGACTGAGAAGTTCTTCAACACTTCCCTTAGCAGCGGGCCCTGGTTCGTCCGTGCTATCCTAGGCGCGGAGACACCAGATTCTTGGCTACCACTACTCGCGGGGGCTGAATTCCCTTCTTCTCCAGGCGACCCCATCAATGGATACGCTGAGAATGGCTAAGGACCAGCTCTGATACCACGTGTTAGCTCTAAATACTATGCGGAAGCGTTTAGACCTGGACCACGAAAACAAACTTGGCAATACTTAACTTCACTTTGGACCCTCCGAGTGTGACAGCTTGTCACCTCATAGCCAAGGGTATAAAAGATACAAAGTGAGTAGTTATGCCTTCCTTGAGTTGTGGAGTGAGGAATCTGGTCGAGCAGCGTTTGGCAGCACTACGTTGCGTTTCTACTCTCGTCAATACGTAGTAGTAGAATTCCAAGCTTTTAAAAGCATAATAGCATTGATTGACTTGAAGCAAATACAAGCACACATTTATATAAAGTCCTAGACACACAAAGGGAAACTGAAACAAAGGTAAAGCAGTTGCTTAACTGGAATCCAAGGCCTCGTCTTGCTGTATTTGAAAACGGTTGTGAATGTTAGGCCCGCTGGCCTAAGTCCGCTAAGGAATTAGCGGGGTCGACTAAGTCGAGGATAAACGCGGCGGAAGACTTTGGCGAAAGAGAGTGTTGGCGAAATAGGCGAAGAAGTAACTGAGTAATTGAAGAAGAGTTGAATGAGAATTGGTTGATAATGCCAAGTACAAGCAAGTTTTATATAGTATGCGAGAAACAAGGTTGGAAAGTGGATTGTGGGACCAAGAATTGTAGTGCAAGAAAAGTAGAGTGCCACGTGGCACTAGAGAATCTGAGAAGATAAGAATAAGGGTGACTTGGAAAGTACTTTTCGAAATGAACAGTAAACACCCCTCTAACACTACCCCCCTCCCAAGGAGGCGACGTCCGCGGCGCCTGCAGACTGAAGGTACGCTCGGAGGCAAGCGTTGTCGGGAGACAGCGAGGACGAAGGAACCCAGCTGTCGTCGGCTGCATCGTAACCACGCCAACGAACCAAGAAGTCGATGAAAGAGACACCCCCCTGGAGACGGCGACGGTGCCTGAGGATGCGCTGGATCTGGTAGTCGGGCTCGTCGGTGTCAACAGCTACCGGCAGTGGAGTGCGATCTTGGCCCGAGAAGGTGGCGTTGGGATCGGTGTAAGGACGAAGGAGAGACACGTGGAATGATGGGTGCATGCGGAAATGAGCGGGAAGGCGAAGGCGGTATGCGACTGGACCAAGTGCGCGCTCAATGATGAATGGACCAATGAAACGTAGTCGAAGCTTGCTGTCCTGTGGCAGTCGGAGGTTGCGGCTGTCGAGAAGGACACGGTCCCCAACAGAAAACGACACCTCACGACGACTGCGGTTGGTGGTGCGTGCCATGCGTGCATTTGCGAGCTCAAGGTGCTTCCTCACGTGGTCGTGAATGAAGGTGAGATGCTGGTGGAAGTTGTCCGCACGAGGGACAGTGGGTGTGAGATCGACACGAGTGGGGACATTAGGGTGCTGACCGTAGTCGTGCATCGTGATGCTACGAAGAATCTGCTCCAAGGTCTGGTTCACGCGCTCAGTCTGTCCGTCTGTCTCTGGATGGTACGCAGACGACATGGCTAAGCGAGTCCCAAACAGTGCAAAAAGCTGCTTCCAGAACTTCGAGGTGAATCTAGGGTCGCGATCGGAAATGATGGAATCGGGAACCCCGTGCAGTCGGACTACGTTATCTACGAACAACGTCGCGGCTTCCTCTGCTGTGACCTGACCGTGCGTGGGGATGAAATGCGCTGCTCGAGAAAACTTATCCACTACCACGAAGATCGCGTCGTGACCCCTAACTGTGCGCGGTAATGCCATGATGAAGTCCATCGTAACTACCTGCCAAGGGCGGTCGGGCGGTGGAATCGGCTGCAAAAGACCTGCTTTGCGCTGGTAGGAAGACTTCGTACGCTGACACGTGTCGCTTGAGCAAATGTAATCCTCTACGTCTGCTGCAAGCCCTGGCCAGTAGTACGTGCGACTAAGCGTCTTAGCCGTCTTATCTGCTCCGAAGTGATCTGCACTAACTACATCGTGTGCCTCTGAGAGAAGGAGCTGTCGAAGAGGGCGGTAGGCTGGAACCCAAATCCGTGTGGTGCCCTTCCGTATGTAAACACTACCCTGCACCTCTGCTCCTGCGGGCGGCTGCGGTGTGAAGTCGGGATCTACTGTGTAACCGTGCTCGAAGAGTGCTGTGAGAAGTGGATGGCCTGCAGTGACTGTGAGGCTAGCGAGCTGGCAACTAGGGCGAGTGAGCGGATCTGCTGGGTTGCGCACGCCTGGCTTGTACTCTATCCTGTAATGAAAGCTCCCCTCCATGAACTCCATCCATCTAGCCTGGCGACGACTCAGCTGCGGTTGCGACTTGAGAAAGCGAAGCGAGCCGTGGTCCGTGCGTATAACACTCTCTGCCCCCTCTAGGTAGCACCTCCATACCTTATACGCATGGATGATCGCGAGCGCCTCCTTGTCGTGTATGGGATAGTTCAACTCCGCTCCCCTCAGCTTACGCGACTCGTACGCGATCGGCTGCAACCCGCGTCCCTGGTCCTGAAGAAGTACTGCTCCTATGGCCTGATCTGAAGCGTCGGTCACTACAACGTACGGGCGAGTGGGATCAGGGTACGACAGTGTCGGTGAAGACGTGAGCGACTGCTTCATCTGCTCGAACGCCTGCTGCTGCGCTGGACCCCAAACGTACTCTACGCCTTTCCGAAGTAGGTCGGTGAGTGGACTAGCGATGGAAGCGTAACCCTGCACGAAACGGCGGCAGTAATTTGCGAATCCGAGAAAGCTCTGCAACTCCTTGACTGAGGTCGGTGCTACCCAATCCTGTACCGCTGCGATCTTCTTCGGGTCGGTCCTAACGCCACTAGCGGATACGACGTGTCCTAGGAACTCGACCTCGGGGAGAAAGAACTCGCACTTCGACTGCTTCGCGTACAGCTTCTCCCTCCGCAAGACCTCAAAGACCCTCTGCAAGTGCTGCACGTGCTCCTCTTTCGACTTGGAAAAGATGAGTATGTCGTCTAGGTAAACGACAACGAACGAACCTAGGAACTTGGAGAGAAGTGTGTTCATGAGCGTCTGGAACGTCGCCCTTGCTTCGGTAGCCAGTGAGCCTGTTGCACCAGTCGCCAGTGGGTCCGTTGCTCCTGCCGCTCGTCTTAGCCGCGGAGCCAGTCACTCCAGTAGTCCGTCGCCCTTGCTTCGGTAGCCACTGAGTCAGCCGCTCCTGTGCCCGTGCCTCTGCAGCTTCAGTCGTTGCCTCCCATCTTCTCTCCTTCCACAGTTCCTCCTCCTCCTCACTTGCCCGCTGTGATTACCTCTAGCTTTGCTTATTATTGTGAACCTGCTCTATGACTTCTTGTTCTGCTGATTATACCCCACTTTGACTATGGGGGTGTGTCAGAATGTGTAGTTTGTCTAGCCTGCAGTGGGGTACTCTGTAGTGAGTACAACCCCTTAGGGTTTCCTATATGTATCCTCCTGCTTGCTAGTGAACTCCCTCCTTTTGCTCATTTCTCTCTTGCCTAGCTAGGTAAACCCTAGCTATGGCTCCTTGTTCTACCTCGTTTCTTCACAGGTCAAACCGAACGGTAGAACCCTAAACTCGTACAACCCCTGCTTCGTACGAAACGCCGTCTTGTGCTGGTCCTCTGGAACTACACGAATCTGGTGGTAACCCGAACGAAGGTCGATCTTAGAAAAGACTCTAGCGCCCTGCACTGCATCGAGAAGATCCTCTACTCTCGGCACCGGGAATCTGTTCTTGACGGTGGCGGCGTTCAGTGCGCGGTAATCTATGCACATCCGTAACCCTCCGTCTTTCTTAGGCGCGAAAAGGATCGGTGCGGCCCAAGGCGATCTAGATGGCTGTATGAACCCCTGTGCGAGAAAGTGCCTAACCTGCTGCGTCATCTCCTCTGTCTCTGCTGGACTCAACCTCCACTGCGGCTTCGCTACTGGCCTGCTTCCCGGCTCCAACTCTATTCGATGGTCGACTGCTCGGCTAGGAGGTAACCCTGGGGGCAACTCGTCGGGGAAGACGTCTGCAAACTCTGCTAACAGTGCACTCACCTCAGCAGGAAGAGTCGCCTTCTCACTAACTGCTGCGCTCCCTCCTTTCCCCTCTTGAGCTTCCACCTCCTCAAGGAAAACCGCGAAGATCCGTGCCGCTCGCTTCACCAGCTGTCGCACACGAACAGCATTGATGATCGCTGTGGATGATGTGGCCCCATCGCTCCACTGTGGCAGCTCCCGGAACTCCCCGTCTACCTTGACGCTGCAGCTTCCCTGAGCCCAATCGAACTGAGTCGAAACCATCCGCAACCAATCTCTCCCGAAGATGAAATCGTAACCGTCCAGCGTCGCAGAGTCGAAGTCACGCCTAACTGTGATCGGTCCTAGCACTACGCGCAACTTGCGAATGACTGGTCCTATGTGGAGAGGCGTCCCATCTATCATGCGAGCGTCCTTGAAGTTGACTGAGGAATCTGCTTCAAGATGGAGACGGCTAACTAATGAAGATGAAACGAACGAGTGGCTAGCTCCGCTATCGACGAGAAACTTAAAAGGAACTCCGCGAACATCACAAAAAACCTTGGTTTTTGAAGGGGGTTCGGAGGGGGGTACAGTTCAGGTGTTTTGGTTGGCGAAGTTCCGAAACAAAATCGCAACCAATCACGGAATGAATTCGGACCGCGTTTATTTGTCGGAGTCGAAATGGAATCCGCGACTCCGGTACGTTGTTGTTTATTTGGAGTGTGCCAAATGTGGGATCCATTTGTAATTGGTTTTTTTAGTTTTGACTTATGTAAAATGTGAAGGCTGGAAAACTTAACTGGCCATTTTATTACAATATAAATGCATCACATCTGATACTTATTAAGGAGATAGGTACTGTCCAGATGGAATGCCTTCACCACATGGACGTGGCGGAGTAGCGCTTCAATCGGAATCACAGAGTATGCGTACATTCCTGTTGTCCACTTGAGGCGAAGGCATCCGGTTGCAGCATCCTCTCCGCTTGCATTCCAATATCTAACGTAAGCCAGCTCCTCCCTCTCTCCACGTATTTTTGTATGGAACAACAGAAGCAACCTTGCATACCACTCCTCTCTCCGACCATACCTTACACCCTCCACTGCAACATCTGAGTACCACGGCCTCTCAAAATAGTCAGGGGTCGCTCGAACGAAGTGAGAAACTCTTGAGAAGCTGGCGTCGTCTGTTCATGCAGGGATTGCCAGCGATGCATGGGCCTGCATAACAGTGGATGTTAGTCATGTATAATACAAGCAAGCCAAATGACGATTGATTGCATAAGCTATCAACTACCGTACTTACTCGAACCTTGGTGACGCATCCTGCATAACGTATAAGCGCATTCTTGAGGGCAGCTTGGGCACCAGGGTGTTGCTTGGCCCACTTCCTTGCAAACCAGTTGGTGGAGGTGGGGGTTTCTGGTAACTCCACAGGGAGGGAGTATGACTCCTTGATAAGTGTCCGTGTGTCGGTCTCAATTGCCTGCCAACATATGCTATCGATATTATTACACTCTGCATTCATATCCATGCAATTCAAGCACTAAACAGATTTACCTGCCGCATGGCGGTGTCCCGGCCAGCAGGATCATCCACCGGCACCACATCCGGAATGCGCCTAGCATGGAACTTCATGATCTGCCCATCTACATTGCGCTTGTTGGACCGACGGTAAATCCGCTTTACCAACGGTCCATGCAAGTGCTCAAACATGTTGGTGCTGAATTCGGTCACATGACCCGCGCGGCGAATGGAGTCGATGTAGTGCGACATGAGATGTGTTTTCACAAGGCACCAAGAGGATGGCTGCTTGGGGAAGGCAGCCTGCAACTGCTCAACGAGCCTGGTGGGAGTGGGAGATGACAACACATGCAATCACATGAGAGTCTACTTTCTCATATTGTTTGGCGGGTCCTAATCCTATCTTATACTAGTTTAGCAGCAACGTTTACAGATTTCCTACTACAAGAGCACATTTACATTAGCCAAGCAATCATCCCATGCACAGGGGTTTACATGCATGGTATTAGTACCGGGAGGTCATCTTCTTCAGCTCCCGGAGGGACCGCTCAGTGTGCCCCTGAGGCTGGGAGCACAGGAGGTACCATCCAAGATAGGCACGAACAGCATCCATCTGGGGCTGGCGAAGCAGGCCGGCAAAAACAAACACCATGACCTGCAAGGTTCATGGATAGCAGCACAGGGGAGGGTGAGCGCAGATGGTTTGAGGAGTAGGGACAAAGAGGTGGCAGCAGGAGCAGACTGGTCGAGGGGCGGTCAGGACAAGCAACAGGGAATGGAAGAGGAGGGGGGGGGGGCAAGCAGCACAGTGCGTGGGTTTAACATGGATTCGGGGTGTTGCGTGTATAGGGTGCAGCCTATCGCACAAGACGTGGCCATTCAGGACTATCATACCTGCATGACGGCCCTGTGCTCATAGGCCGCGACGCAGGCTCCGGTCTCGAAGTAGGTGCTCTCCGGCAGGCGCATGTGATTCAGGCGCGTGCGGTCGTGAATGAGTGACAGGCGCCTGCCCATACACATCAGTTCAACGCAAGGGCAGAACCATGTCAGGGAGAGCACTGCACTTGTACTTTGTGTAAATGTGACCAAGAGCAACAAATCCAACCACCAAAACACTGACCTGTCCATCTGCTTCACACGCCGCTTCTTCATCTTGCGCACGACAGCCACAATGTGGCTCATGATGCCCAGGTCCGCCTGGTGCATGATGTCAGGCATGACCACGAGGTAGGGATTGCCCCACACGGTCCCTGGGACATCCCACTTCCAGAGCACGCACTAGAAATGGGGATGCGGAAAGGAATGAAGGAGAAATGTACATGTGGGTTGGGATAAACCACATGTGGGGTGAGTTCAATGGGGCAGAGCATATCTGGCAATTCATGATGGGGCAGGCGAAAGCATAGACGGCACATTAGCCGCGAAAACACATCACTCACCTCAACAGGATAGGTAGAGTAGGTCTTGCACGGGTTATCCTGGCTATTTGTCGTCCCAGCCGCCTCATTCACGATCCATTGCTGCTGTTCAGGCGTGCGAGGCGTGTTCCGTGCCTTGACAGCCCCCAGATGCTCCTGGTGTAGCACGGGGGTGAGGGATGGGATATGAAGGTAAGGGTGGTAACTAAGTGGAGTATATCAGGCCACACTAAAACCAAAATGTATTCAAATGCGTGCACATTCCATGTTAACTCACCTTTGCAGCATAGCAGATGCTGCACGGCATCCGCGACCCATGCGAGAGTGTGCAACTGATCTTGCCGCTCTCGGGGTAGTCGCACACCCAGGTGTACAGCAGGGGCCGAACGGTTTGCCAATCACCGAAAGGGTAACTGAGTCGGAACCCACTGCATGGGACAGGCAGAGTGGCAACAGGAATTCGGAGGACAGTTTTTAGGGAGGAACACAGATGGGCATTGGGGCAGGCAACATACAGAGACACTTTGCATACTCTGCAGATGCCGCATAGCAAGACGACATAGCAAGATGCCGCATGAGTACGAACTTTCCATGCCATCAAGAAGCGGCTGCAGCACGGTGATGACGCATCTCTGGAAGAGCATCACCTTCTCCACGGCAGACATTGCAGACGGGGGGATAGGAAGGAGGGCAAGTAGTGTGTGCCCGGCTTTCCCCCATCGCTTGGCCTGGGCGATATTGGCAAGCGTCATCATGAGCGGCCACGCCTTCTTCCGGCCGTTGTTGCTCATGTGCGTCACATCCGAATACAGGATGATCCTGTTGAAACTAACTGGCAGGAATGAGAATGACTAGCAAGAATGTGAGTACAAATATGCAACCCTAGAGTTTGTGTACCCCCTAAAGGCTAACCCACTGTAGCCTAAACAACCACAACATATATAATGTTTGACACACCCCCATAGGCAAAGTGGGGGAGAACAAGGGGTCACAAGACCAGTCAGAGCAAAGCAAAGCACAAGCAAGCTCAGGGTGGATCTCAAGGGATACCACACAAATTCCGAGCACAAGCAAGTGGTCACAAGACCAGTTCACATGCAGTTTGATAGTAGAGCAAGAGGTACAGTGATCACAACCTAGCAAGTGAAAGCATGCAGGTATATATATAGAGATCACAGTACAAACAAAGTCAAGAAGTAAGCAAGTGAGGTCCAGTAGGCACAAGGCCTAGAAGAGTACAGAAGCGCTGATGGTCACAAGGCTGAAGCGCCTTGGTGAACACGTCAGCAGTGTTGGCCTGAGTGGCCACGTAACGCAGACAAAGCTGACCACGCTGCTGCAGCTCACGAGCCAGAAAGTACCGCAGAGCGATGTGCTTCGTTCTGTGCTCCAGTCTGTGCTCCTCACACAAGGCAATGGCAGCCTTGTTGTCGACGTACAGCACTGGAGGAGAACGAGGCCGCTCTCCCAAGTCGGTCAGCAGGTAGGTGAGCCAGCGTAGCTCCTGGGCCGCCATGGCTGTGGCGTAGATCTCAGCCTCACAACTGGAGCTGAGAACTGAAGAAGAACGTGTAGAACGCCAAGAAACTGAACCGGAGCCAAGGCTGAAGGTGTAACCCTGAGACGACCGCTGCGTGGCCTGGTCGTCCGCCCAAGAAGCGTCTGAGTGTCCAGTGAGAACAACTCGGTCTCGCCCTCCAAGCACTAGCCCTATGCCCGACGTACTGCACAAGTAGCGCAACACCCTCTTAGCGGCATCCATGTGCTCCTTCCGGTGACGGCCAGGAGCGACATAGCGTGCAAGGATGCTAAGAGGGTATGCAAGGTCAGGGCGAGTGCAGGTCATCAGGTACATGAGACAGCCCACAAGCTCTGGATACGGGCCACTCGGCTCTACGGACTCATCCGAAGGCAGAGCTGAGAGCGAATGACCGGTAGGCAGAGGAGTGGACTGAGGCGAGGAGTACGTGAAACCGAAGCGCTGAAGGACCTGCTGCACCATGTGTGATTGAGTCAAGGTAATGGTGCGCCGTGCTCTGTCCCGAGTGATCCGCAAGCCAAGATAGCTTGTCAGTTCACCCAGGTCTGTGCACGTGTGTCTCTTCTGCAGCTCCGACTTCACGTGGGCGAGAGCCTGAGTGTCAGCAGTGGCAAAGACCAAGTCGTCGACGTACACGAGGATGTAGAACGGCGGCAACGAAGTGTCTGTGCGCAGAAACAGCGACGGGTCAGCAGTAGAAGGCGCAAACCCAAGAGCCGCAAGTGTAGTCCTCAGTGTGTCGTGCCACTCACGTGGCGCCTGGCGGAGACCGTAGACCGGCCGGCGGAGGCTCCAGTGGGTACCAGGAGGAAACGACCCAGTGAAGCCAGGAGGGCGGCGCAGCCAGATCTCCTCGTGCAGACTACCCTGCAAGAAAGCAGTGCTGAAGTCAAGAGAGTGAAGCTCGTAGTCACGCTGAGCGGCTATGTGCAGCAGCACCCGAAGAGTGGTCATCTTCGGGGTGGGGGAGAAGGTCTGGAAGAAGTCGACTCCCTCACGCTGGCTGAAGCCTCGAGCAACGTAACACGCCTTGAAGACAGGCGGAGAACCCGGCGGCCGCTTCACCCTGAAAATCCACATGCCACTGACGATGTTCGCCCCTGGTGGGGGAACAGCGTCGACGCTGGTGCCTGTGGACTTCCAGGAAGCCATCTCTGCGTCCATGGCTGTCTGCCACTGAGAGGAGTAGGGACCCGCTATTGCCTCTGCGTAAGAGCGCGGGGTCGGGATGTCTGGTGCATCCGGGTCTCCCTCAGGGGCAACTAGCATGGACACGAGATGAGGTAAAGCAGCAGCAAAGCACTGGAACTCCTCCTGCCTGTCCTCAAGGACGTCCGTGCCAAGAGCACACTCACCCCCGACGGACGGAGGACAGACAGACTCAGACTCAGCAACTAGGCTAGCGGCGTAGTCGAGACGACAAGCGGCAGCAAAGTCAACTAACTCAGCAACGAGAGCAGACGCAGCAGAGGACTCAAAGGTAGGGTCAGTGACAACAGTAGCAAGGAGACGCGTGACAGTAGGACGGGCAGCACGAAGGGAGTCAGACTCCGGGTCAGGAAGCTCAGGAAGAGAGGACGCAGGAGGAGACGGCAGAAGGACACGCTGAGGAGCAGTGGAGGGACGCAGAGTCATGTAGTGAGTGCCAGGGACAGGAGGAGGACGCTCACGCGGGACACGACGACCAGTGCGAGCAGCACGGACAGGCGACGCAGAGCGAGACGCAGGCGACACAGGACGAGACTCAGGCTCACGACGCTCCGTAAGACCTCCTGTGGGACCAGTGTAAGGAGAAGGACCGGGGAGCGGCGAGGGAGGCGGGAACTGCGACTGCGACGGGACCGGCGGAGGACACTCTAAGGAGGGAGCAGGACAAGGAGGAGGAGGCTGACCAAGAACCTGCTGGAGAAGCGGAACGAAGTACGGTCGGGGCCGCTCAGTGACTCCAGAACCAGGAGAGACGGCACCAGCACCCGCGGCAGCTCCAGCAGCACCAGCTCCAGGGTCCGCAGCACCAGCAGCAGCTCCAGCGCCAGGGTCCGCAGCACCAGCAGTAGCTCCAGCGCTAGGGTCCGCAGCACCAGCAGCAGCTCCAGCTCCAGGGTCCGCAGTACCAGCAGCAGCTCCAGCTCCCGGGTCCGCAGCACCAGCAGCAGCTCCAGCGTCAGGGTCCGCAGCACCAGCAGCAGCTCCAGCGCTAGGGTCCGCAGCACCAGCAGCAGCTCCAGCTCCAGGGTCCGCAGCACCAGCAGCAGCTCCAGCGTCAGGGTCCGCAGCACCAGCAGCACTAGCAGGGCCTCCAGCAACAGCAGCAGCACCTCCCGTACCAGGGTCCGCGACACCAGGCGCTCCACTCCGGAGAGTGCAGCGCCGCTCGTACCACTCGCGGATCCGCTCAAGAGAGGGCAGCTCCCGCTGAGGAGGGGAGGCACCAGCACCAGTCGCAGCAGCACTCCTGGTCCCAGAGGCACCTCTCCGGAGGCTGCAGTACTCTGAGTACCACTCACGCAGCCGCTCCGAGGAGAGAGCTCCCCCAGGCGCAGGACTCCCAGGCTCAGCACCCCCAGACTCAGCACTCCCAGACCCAGAACTCTGCAGCTCAGCACCCCCAGGCACAGCACCCCCAGGCTCAGGACGCCCTGGCTCAGCACCCCCAGACTCCGCACCCCCAGGCTCCGCAACCGCAGGCTCCGCACCCCCAGGCTCAGCACCCCAAGGCTCCGCACCCCCAGGCTCAGTACCCCCAGGCTCAGCACCCCCAGGCTCAGTACCCCCAGACTCCGCACCCCCAGGCTCCGCACCCGCAGCAGGACGAGAGTCAACAGCTACCTCAACAGGCTCAACCGGGTCTACCTGGGACACACCTGAGGGAGCGGCACCCTGAGGGGGGAGGGGGTCTACCACAGCAGCACCTGGCGCGAGGAAGAGAGGCGGGGGGGGGGAGCGGGGCAGTGCGGTAGGGGAAGAGGCGGTAGTAGGGGACGGACTCGTCAAACGTGACGTCCTGAGAGGCAAGGACCCGGCGCGAGGTGGCGTGGTAAAACTGCCAACCAGACGCGTCAGGGACAAAGCCAAGGAAGACGCAGGGAAGGCGGACGTATCGCGAACAAAAGCTCGAGATCCCCAGACCCGGAAACGCGACGCATCGCCAACCTCTCCCGTCCACAGCAGTATGGGCGAGGTCTCCGGCAAGGAGACACGGGGCCAGAGGTTGAGCTGATGCGCAGCGTACCGGACCGCAAACGGCCACAGAAAGTGGGGGGCAGCTGCATGGATCAAGGAGGTACGGGCGACCTCCATGACTAGGCCAATGCGGCGCTCCGCAACCCCATTCTGCTGTGGAGAGGCTGGAAGCGTGAACGACTGCTCAATGCCGTGCTCAGCACAGTAGGCTGCCAAGAGGTCGGAGGAGAACTCACCACCTCTGTCAGAGTGCAAGCGCAGGACAGGAAAGTCCGAGTGGAAACGCTCGCTGAGCTGGAGACGAGCTCTGCGGATCCAAGGGATCAGAACATCAGGGACCTCACCCTTGGTGCGCAAGGGGAAGACCGTGGTGTAGCGCGAGTAGTCGTCAACAACTATCAGGAAGTACCTCTCCTGACCCTGACCACGGACGCGGGCTGGGCCCCACACGTCCATGTGGAGCGTCTGCAAGGGAGCAGTCGTCAGGGGAAAGGAGGAGGAGTGAGGAGCGGCGCGCTGCCGCCCCTCGACACAGGGAAGACAGGGAGGAGCAGGCGAGGGAGGGAGAGGAGGGAGGACCCTGGGAAGACCAGAGACAAGGTACCTGGAGTGCATGGCGCGAAGGCGCTGCACAGACGGGTGGCCAAGTCGGTGGTGCCAGAGGACAGTCTCGTGCGCCAGAGAGCGACATGAGCAGGGGGCCGACAGCTGACCTGACGCAGACGCAGACGCAGACGCAGCGACCTGAGGGGACACAGTGGTCAGTGTGTACAGGTCCGACCCCGGCTGCCGAGTGAAGGTAGCCAAGTGGCGGCCCGTACGGGCACACGTGCAGTGCGTCACGCGCTCGTAGGCCGGGGTGAACTGGTGAACACCCGCGTCCTGGAGCGCACACCCAGCCACCAGGTTCGTAGAGAACGAGGGGAGGTGGAGACCAGACAG